CCAAATTGGGTTTGAATCATTTGGAAGAACTGTTTGAGACAACTAGTAACTTCAGTTTTGTCCACAATAAGAAAAACCCAAACAGCTCTAGAATAATCATCAACAATGGTAAGAAAATAATGAGAACCAGTAGACAAACATGGAGAATATGGCCCCCACAAATCACAGTGAATTAAATCAAACAAGGCATCAGCTTTATTAAGACTCGACGAAAAACTAGAACGAGTTTGCTTTGAAAAGAAACAAATGTCGCATGACTGAAAATTTTTAATTTCAGCTGCACTTTTATTAAAAGGAGGCAAGGACAATACTTGAGGTGACGGGTGACCAAGACGCTGATGCAAAAGAGAGACAGATTCGGCTTTGGATGCCCGGGCGAAAGAAGGAAAGATATAAACTCCATTGCGCACTTCACATCGTCCAATCTGCGTCTTCGAAGTTCGGTCCTGTATCACACAACATTGGTCATCAAAGAAAACATGACAATTATGAGAGTTGACAAGACAACTCACAGAGATAAGATTGCATTTTAAATTAGGCACATAAAGCACATCATGAAGAACCAAAGCTGGGGATACTTGCACGCGCCCACACGAGTTAGCCACAACTCGAGCTCCATCCGGTAGGCTAATAGTACAAGGAGGCACGGATTTTATATCCGTCAAATTTGAGAAAACCCCTGTCATATGATGTGATGCACCACTGTCCACAAGCCACTCACAGGGCATAGTAAGGGACGGACCTTGTACATTATCCGACGAAGAGGGTGTTGAGTTAATCATGGAGAACAAAAAGTTGACCACACAACAATAGTGCACCAAGAAACACAAGCAGTATCACACCAAAAATCTCCTTAGATCACAAATGCAGCCGCACAACAGCCGCACAATGAGATTGAACTCTCTGGTTTTGGAATGGCTATTACCACTTAAATCTCAATAAGTCAAATTTTGAATTTGCAACAGCACAAAATCCAAAATTGCTGCAAAGGACCACCAAACGGATGAATTTGGTGGTGAAGAACAAATCATCAGATCAAACAGATGAAAAAGAGATGCTGTGACCAATTCTAGATCGGGAAATCGCCGGAGTGAATATTGGCCAAGATTTCCTATAGCAGCAGCAGCGCACAAAAAATCAGACCTTCCGTTGGAGAGAAGGAATCTGATCGGCGGTGAACCCCACGCCGGAGAGCAGAAACGCAAAGAGACTAGGTTATTGGCTCTGATACCATGTAAAAATTTAGGGTATGTTTGGTTGGAGGTAGGTAAAATTTTTATTAGGTAGGTAATGGTAGGTAATTGAAGGTAGGTAAAGTAAGGTAATGTGTAAAAAAATTATGTTTGGATGTTTATTAGGTAACGTGAGGTAGGAAAAAATAAAATTACTAAAATATCCTTGATGTTGTTTTTCTTTATTTGTTTAGGATTTTTTATATGAAATTAAAATTTATTTAAATTTTAAATGTAAAATTTTAAAATTAAATAAACACTCCAGTAGAGAAAGAGTGAAAGGAAAACTGAAAATTGAAGTGCAAAAGTGAAAATGGCAAAAAATTGAAGTGCAAAAGTGCAAAAGCATAGTAGAACAAAAATCGAAGTGCAAAAGTGCAAAGTAGAACGAAAAAAGTGAGAAAAAAAAATCTGGAAATTGAAAAAAAAAAGTAAAAATTGAAGTGCAAAAGTGAAAATTACAGCGATGGGAAAGATTATGCAGTGACAATTGCAGCGAAGGAAAACATGAAGATTATGCAGTGAAAATTGCAGGGAAGGGAAAAATTACAGTGAAAATTGAAAAGTGAAGTGCAAAAAATTGAAAATTGCAGCAAAGAGGTTAGGGTAATTGGAATGGAATTGAAGAGCAGAGCAGATCGAGAGAAAAAAGTGCAAATTGAACTATGGCGATCGAAATACCTGTGGAATGGCGATGGGAAGTGGGAACCGTATGAAGATGGCGATGTGAAGATGGCGACTGGCTTTCCTGCGATCGGGCGAAGGGTAGCGTTACCGTGATAATTCGCCAAATTGGCGGTCATGTAAAATGCACTTTTTAGAGGTAGCCTTACCTCCCTTTACCTCTCCCTACCTCATTTGACCTATCTCATTTTTTGTTCCCAAACAAGGTAAAATATTAAGTTTACCTCTCCCTACCTTCCCCTACCTCCAAACAAACATAGTGTTAGAGTAAAACTGATCTGTTTTCTTTAAACAACCAAGACCGTATATATACAAATTTTACCCGAGACGGGCTAGGGTTACACGTGTAGGCCCAATACAAAAATACAATTAAATACAAATATCGGCTAACATATTAGGTTTGTAAATGTTATGACAGATGCGAGAAAGTATGAACACGAACAATCGACAATCACGAAAAGAAGACAAAGATTTAACGTGGTTTACTAACAACCTGTTAGTAACCTCCACGGACAGAAGAGAAACAGATTTATTGATCAGATTTTCTTACCAGATTACAGATTTTCTCTACCATGTATTGAGGAGTACAAATACAAGCCATATATATAGGGAACGAAGATATGGGTAATCCTAATCCTACTATATATCTAAAGATGAGATTAGGAAAGATAATCCTAATCCTATTCCTAATCGTAATCCTAATACATCTAGGATACAGATTCAAGGCATTTTCTAACAGTAAATATGTTTAATATATAAAACACGGGTAGGGCAAGTTACAAGAATGGCGTTTGGTTTAGTGGAAGCGCGCGCATCAGCATGAAAACTCTAGAAGGCTAGAGTTCTACTTCCATCTTGGCCTTAATAGTCAGTTCTTCCGTTTTTTAAAAGCGCATGGAGTTTATAGTCAGTTTTATTTTTTTTTTAAAGATAAAACGCGTAACCCCTATTTTCTCTGCAAATTTGACCTCTCTTACCCAATTCTCTATTTCGAATTCTTAATTTTGAATCCCAACCTTCGTCCTTTAGAGTTAGTTTTTTCTTTTTTTTTTTAAAAAAAACATGGAGTAAAACGACGTCGTTTTGCACGTAAAAATTAAAACGTGTAACCCCTATTTTCTCTGCAAATTTGACCCCTCTTCCCCAATTCTCTATTTCGAATATTTAATTTTGAACGCTAACCTTCGTCTTTTAGACCCAGTTTTTTCTTTTTTTTTAAAAAAGAGCATGGAGTAAAACGACGTCGTTTTGCGCGTAAAATTAAAACGCGTAACCCCTATTTTCTCTACAAATTTGACCCCTACTAAAATTAATTTTTATGGTAGTTTGAAGTTTTATATATGATTAGTAATATATAAATATATAATAATTTATATATTTATTTTTTATTCATTACTTATTCTTTAAAGAATCAAAGATTTTTCTTCAATAAAAAATTGATTTAGGATTGTAAGTGATAAGTATTATTGTAGTGAAATTTGCACTAAATAGGACTAAAACATAATGACTTTTCTAATCTAAGACTTAAACTTTTTTATTCCCTAAATAGGACTTAATAATGTCTTCGTGGAAGGAATAATGCCCAGTAATGATGGACATTTACTTGAATAATGACTAATTAATAATGATCAAAGGTCCTACATTGGGAAATAAAAACATATGGTCCTATTTTGGGAAAGACATTATGTTTTACTCCTATTTAGGTAAATTACTCATTATTGTATTAATGTTCATTTTATGTCTAATTTATGTAATTAATATTATTTTCGTATGACTTTATTTCTATGTATTAATTATGGTATTTTTCAAATATTAGTTTTAGTTTATTGTTAAATGTTAAGACTTACGGAGTATGAAGTAGTTTGATATGAGAATGGAGGTAGAGGACCCCGTGGTTGTAAAATCTTGGATCCGCCTCTGTGCATCTTTTAAAAACCATATGTATTTTAGGAATAAGTATTGAAAAGCAATGGGGTTTTGGTGCCTATTATCTAAACCATTGTAGGCTTTCGTGTTATTTAACCGAATAAGTAGTACGAGTAACTTAAAAAAATAAGTTGAACGAAACGGTACGTCGGTAGCACTTAATTTGTGTTCATTCTACGCTACAGTGGAATTTTGTTACATACTTGGTCCGTCCCTGAGTGTTTGTCCACTTTTGACTTTAGGAACTGTTCATCTAAGCACTTTGACTCATCAAATTCTCTCAATGTGTAAGCCTAAAAATAATCATGGGTGATCTTGTTTGATTCGTCTTAACATATAGATTATTAATATATAATTTCTATAATTTTTTAATATACAAATTACAAGATAAAATGGATTAAAGAAGTACATTGGATGATGTGCAAAAATGAAAGTGGACAAACACTTAGGGACGGGTGGAGGGAGTATATCACTCGTGTGTGCAGTGGTGTTAATTAATCTTGTTACGGAGTACTCCGTATTATAAATGGCGTCAACTTGGCTGGTCCTCCTGTTTGCGGCGGCGGCGGCCGCCGGATTTATTACTGTTGCAGCGGTTAACGGTACTGATGATAATCCGTCGTCCCCCGACAGCAGTGCAATGAAGATGCTGAAGGACAGCCTTGTGTTCCCGCCGGGGTCACCACTCCTGTCTACTTGGAATAACCAGCCGGACCCGTGCCGGTGGAAAGGGGTGTGGTGCGACGGCGACAACCGGGTTTGGAAGATCGACATCGGTAATTACGGCCTCGACGGCACCCTCCCGGCGGCCGGTCTCGGGGAGCTCCCCTACCTCAATGAATTCTCCGCCGGCCGCAACAATTTCACCTCCAATTCTTTCGCGTCGGGTCTCTTCCGTATTTCTTCTAACTTGGTAAATGTTTCCCTGGACTTCAACACTTTTCTTGAACCGTGGAAGATCCCGGAGAGTCTCGCGGCAGCTCGGAATCTTACGTCATTCTCCGCCGCCGGCTGCAACGTCAACGGCGATCTCTCAATCTTGAAAGGGATGCCGCGGCTGAAGCATGTCAGGCTGCACCTGAACCAAATTTCCGGCGAAATTCCCGACCTCTCCGCCCTCACGTCCTTGCGAGAATTCACCGCGAGCAATAACAGTCTCGCCGGTCCGGTGCCGGAAACATTGGGAAACATCACCTCCCTACAAGATCTGAGCCTGGCGAATAACTACCTGACCGGAGCTATTCCTCCGGCCATCACGCGTTTGACCAATCTCCTCAGACTGGACCTTTCCTATAACCGGCTTGCCGGCGAAATACCCGACATGTCCGGCCTCGTGTCCTTGAAAGAATTCATCGCCGGCTACAACGGTCTCTCCGGCCCGGTGCCGGAAACACTGGGGAACATCACAACACTGCAAGAAGTGAGTCTGGTGTTCAACAATCTGACAGGAACTATTCCTCCGGCCATCGCACGTTTGACCAATCTTCTCAGACTCGACCTTTCCTATAACAAGCTTTCCGGCGAAATACCCGACCTGTCCGGCCTCAGATCGTTGCAAGTATTCTACGTGTACTCGAACCAATTTACCGGTCGGGTGCCGGAATCATTGGCGGACATCCCGACACTGCAAGATGTGAGGCTGGCGTATAACAGCCTGAAGGGAAATATTCCTCCGGAGATCACGCGCTTGACCGGTCTTCTCAGATTGGACTTATCCTACAATTATCAGATTTGCGGTGGGGTCCCATCCGGGTTTGCCCCGAATGTGACTGTGATAACCACCGGAATTCCCCGTATAAATGAAACATGTCCCGCGGGATGAGGAGCAGGACGACAGACGACGTTGAATGTCCTGTCTGGTTCAGTCAAGTCAAGCCTCTGTTTGTTTCCATTTTAAAGCTTGTTCGCACCAATTTACATTTTACACTTGCCTTTATATTATCCCATTAGCATTTTTTGTATAGTTTCATTTGTACTCTCGTTTTCAAAAACACCTTTTCTTTCATTTTTTTCACTTCCAACAAAATAATTTCACTTTCTATTAAAAAACCACTTTTATTCTTACTTTTTCATACCTTACCTATTATATCATACTTTTTTTCTAATAATATATCCATCACATCTTACTTTTACTCATCACATCAAAGACAAAATTGGAAGTCAACTACAATTTAACACGTTCTTATTGTTACACTTGATCAAACTAGAAACTCTTTTTGAGAACAGAGAGTATGAATTTGTATCCCTAATTATTAAGATTATCTTCTTCACCATTTGATTTCACTGCCTAAATCTTCACTAAATCCCAAATATTCTTGGTGCAAGAGGTGATTGGCATGGGGTTCTTGGTGGAAGGCCTCTCCCATTGTTTTCGTCACGGTCGGTTTTAACAAAATAATTTGGAAAAATTGCATCATCATATTTTCATTGTTTCCTGCAAAGTGCAAACGCACGACTGAGCAGCTTTGGGACTTTTTACTCGGGACTTATCCAAAAAGTTCGTAGTCAGCACATTCTTGTGTGACAGGATCCTTTTTCGTTCCATCCATTCCATCTTAACCAGGTTTTATTCGAATAGATGATGGAGAAACCATCAAGCTAGAATTCAAAGCTTACATTATTCTTAATAAAGAAAACATACGAAATGAGTGTAATTATGCGAATTAAACTCATTTGAAAAAAAAAACAAAACTAGGAAACCTTTCTTCTTTCTAAAAGGAGCGGCTGTAGTGACTGTAATTGCGAAAGGACGAACAGAGAGAAAGAGAGAGAGTAGCCTTCAAAAACTTCATTTGCCCCATTCGTAAGTGAAGTTTTCACTGGTTTTTTCATGGAGCTTAAGAAAAAAATAAAAAATTACGATTATTTGGTTGAGATTTGTGGGAAAGAGATATAAATAATACGGATTATATATGTACGATATGATTTTTTCTTAAACCTAATGAGAACTTAAATTTGAATGTCCCAAAAATGAAGTGAAATCATAATTCTGGAGCAAAGTACTTTTTAAGTTAATTGCTACCATTCGTCCTAGTAGTTGAGGTTTGTGTAAAAAGTACATTTAATTTGTTGAAGTATTGTTTGCAAATATATGTTAGAGTCTATCCCACGTCGAAAAATTGAAAAGAATAAACGGAGTAACATGTTTATAAGTTTTTTTGGTTAAATTGGTTAATCGATTGGATTCAATCTTTTAATATGGTTTAACAAAATATATACTACGTATATCTTATGGCCAAATCCAATAACCGTAATTTCACCGAAGCTTCTTTTTATACACTTGATTAGGTAACTATTTAAAAAAAAAAATGCATTTTAAATTTTTTCATTGTCTTATTTAAAAGTTTCGTTTGCTTTATCAGAAAAAAAAGTAAATTGTACCAAATTGGTAGTACGAGTGTGATTAAATTTTGTTTGCTCAATAAAACGTACGTTGATATTTATGTCAATTTTTTCCCCTCAGTTAACATTCATGAAAAATATTTCCTACTTTTTCCTACTATCTTTTGGGATTTGTGCTTCCATGATCCTAATATTTACATGTGAAATGTAGACATTCTTATATGTGGATCTTTTATTTTTTCAAAGAGCCTAATTCATACATGATATTTATATGCTAAAATCCGTAAAATAAATTTTGATCCTAGGACCATAGAAGAATTTGTCAATTTTTGAACGTGAGTTAGTGATACAAACATAATACTCTGTATTTGAAAAATACTACAATTGGTTTTTGATGGAACATTGGCCCAAATGATACGGTTATGTTCTTGTACAAAGCGTATCAGGATAGGGAAACTCGAACACCTTCAAGCTATGGAATACCAGTTGATACTTGACTTATGCGAGAATCAATCAGAGAAGGACTGGATCGCAACTTTGTGCAGCGGAAAGGGGAGGCAAGAGAAGGAAGAATTAAGGGAAAATAATTTCTTTACGGAAGAAAGACTAAAGTAAGACTGAACCATTGAAAATATACCAAAATAGGACTTCCATATTTTTATTTCTAAAATAAGACTTAAAATACATTTACATTACCAAACATGATCATGCACATTACCAAAAAGTATAATAATGTGCACATGTAGAGTGTCACATTACAACCACATTCCCATAGTGCGAAGTTCTATTTCGGGAGAAAAAACATGAAAGTCCTATATTGATACTTTTCTCTAAGATTTAGTCCTATTTTTAGTGATTTCTATTTCTTTATTTCTTGAATAATCCATGGTAAATAGACTCCAAATGTAAAGATTCCTAAGCATAGTGGACAACTAAATAAATTAATATTCTCTAACCATAAATAATAAAACTACTCATGATAAAAAATAATAATCATACTCCGTAAATAATAATTACTTAAGAATCAGTGTCGTGACTTATTTGGTCCCCAGGAGTATAATCATAAGAAATGTTACGAACCTCAGGAACCTCCCTCTACGCAGTGACTTACGCACTCGGCACTCTGCCTTATATTTTCATTTTATTATTTTATTTTTATTTTTTTTAATTTTTATTTTTTTGTGAATGGAGGGCTTGTTTGAGAGCATTTTTTTCTAAACATTATAATAGTTGCCAAACGGGCCGTTAAAATTTCTTTGTGGAGATAGAAGTAAAATGCGCTATCGATCTCTACGCAATTCGTTACGCACTATGCCATATTTCTTTTATGACTTTTTCTTTGTGCATTATTCAACATTCACTCTTTTTGGAAAATGTATTTTACCCTAGACTTGGTTTAAAATTTGTTCAAAGTTAATTACCACCACCTTTACCCCCAATTAAGGATTGCCCCTCCGTTAATTAGTAGATTTTTAGTGTCCAATTTAACTTTATAGTTTTCGTTCCTACTTCAAATTTGATTCCACCCATGATTTATGATTTTTAAATGAATCATTTAAACTAATTTTATTTTAAAATGATATGCTCCGTAATATTTTAAATTACAAATTTTATTGTTTAACACTAAATAAAAGTTCTAAAAGTAAGAAATGATATGAGTATATTATTTCACCCAGCACTTAGCCTTTATTTTTCATTTTATTATTTTATTATTTTATTTTTTTAATTTTTTAACCTTTTTTTTCGTGAGTGGAGGACTTGTTTGAGAGCATGTTTTCTAAAACACTAAAATAATTGCCAAACGGGCTGTTAATATTTTTTTTTACGGAGAAAGGAAATATGCTATCGATTTCTACGCAATCAGTTACGCACTATACCCTATTTCTTTTTTTTCCTTTTTCTTCGTGCTTAAATATTCATTCTTTTTGAAAAAATATACTCTCTCCGTTCCATAAAGAAAGTGACAATTTGATTAAAGTGGTAAAATAAAGAGAGATAATTTTGTGTTGATTTTTCAAAAATACCCTTGATATGATAGGTAAAAATATGATGCAATGTGTAGGTTATTTAAAAAAGGTATGATGTACTCCGTAATACATAGAGTGTGAAAAAGTATGAAGTAAAAGTGAGTTTTTAAAAGAAAATGAGAATAAATTTAAGGGATGTAATTTTGTTGAAGGATTAAGGAGCAAAATAGGAGTAAAACATTGATTAAAAACCCAAAATAGGAGTGAAAACATAAACTTCCCAAAATAGTTTAAAATTTTTTCAAAGTAAATTTGATAATATATATATATATATATATATATATATATATATATATATATATATATATATATATATATATATATATATATATATATATATTAGTTCTGGTGAGAATGCGATCTTAGGAGAGAAATGAGAATGAATCTGGTGCTTTAGATTGTAAGATCTAAGGGTCAGGATTGCATCAAAATTTGATGCACCACAATGATTTGAAAATGCATCACGTCGAAATGCACCAAAATCCACTGAAAATGCACTATCTCAAAATCTGAGCGCAGGATGCAATCTGAGCCGCACGATGCAT